AACTCGGAAAGTTTTTTCATTATTATTAAAAAAAATAAATAAATAAATATTCGCAAATTTCCTATTTTCAAAATTCACTAAAATTGTTGAAAAAGATATCGGAATTAAAACACGCGGGGACACGAAGATTCTTTTAAAACTCCTTTAAAAACAAAACTCCTGAGTACCCAGAACTTGTTCAATTTTTTTCAAAAATGAAACACAAGGTCCCCAAAAATTCATTCATATGCTAAAGAAAAAGCCACAATTTTCTTTCGAACTCAAAACATTCATTTTTGATTTTTAATTCCAATGTTTTCCTGTCCTGTTCCATATTAACTCATTCTAAAATATTGAACTTCCATGAAAATGTAACAAAAAATTAAATTAGGCCCGTTTTGGAACTTAAAAAAAATATTCTCAAATTTCATATTTTCAAAATTCACTGAAATTCTTGAAAAAGGTATCGGGATTAAAACGCAAGAGGACACGAAGATTCTTTTAAAACTCCTTTAAAAACAGAACTCCTGAGTCCTAGAACTTGTTCAATTTTTTTCAAAAATGAAACACAAGATCCCCAAAAATTCGTTCATATTCTAAAGAAAAAGACACAATTTTCGTTCGAACTCAAAACATTCATTTTTGATTTTTAAATCCAATGTTTTCCTGTCCTGTTTCATATGAACTCATTCTAAAATATTGAACTTCCATGAAAATGTAGCAAACAATTAAATTAGGCGCGTTTTGGAACTTAAAAAAAAATATTCTCAAATTTCGTATTTTCAAAATTCACTGAAATTCTTGAAAAAGGTATCGGGATTAAAACGCAAGGGGACACGAAGATTCTTTTAAAACTCCTTTAAAAACAAAACTCCTGAGGTCCAGAACTTGTTCAATTTTTTTCAAAAATGAAACACAAGGTCCCCAAAAATTCATTCATATGCTAAAGAAAAAGCCACAATTTTCTTTCGAACTCAAAACATTCATTTTTGACTTTTAAATCCAATGTTTTCCTGTCCTGTTTCATATGGACTCATTCTAAAATTTTGAACTTCTACGAAAATATAACAAAAAATTAAATTAGGCGCGTTTTGGAACTTAAAAAAAATATTCTCAAATTTCATATTTTCAAAATTCAGTAAAATTCTTGAAAAAGGTATCGGGATTAAAACGCAAGGGGACACGAAGATCTTTTAAAACTCCTTTAAAAACAAAACTCCTGAGGTCCAGAACTTGTTCAATTTTTTTCAAAAATGAAACACAAGGTCCCCAAAAATTCATTCATATTCTAAAGAAAAAGACACAATTTTCTTTCGGACTCAAAACATTCATTTTTGATTTTTTAAATAAATCCAATGTTTTCCTGCCCTGTTTTATATTAACTCATTCTAAAATTTTGAACTTCGATAAAAATACTACAAAAAATTAAATTAGGCCTATTTGGAACTTTAAAAAAGATTCTCAAATTTCATATTTTCAGAATTCACTAAAATTCCTGAAATAGGGATCGGGAATAAAACAAAGGAGACCCGAAGATTCTTTGAAAACTCTTTTAAAAACAAAATCTCCGGAGTTCCAGGACTTTTTCAAAATTTTTCAAAAATAAAACACAAGGTCCCCAAAAATTCGTTCATATTCTAAAGAAAAAGACACAATTTTCTTTCGAATTCAAAACATTCATTTTTGATTTTTTAAAATCCAATGTTTTTCCTGCCCTGTTTCATATTAACTCATTCTAAAACTTTGAACTTCGATGAAAATACTACAAGAAATTAAATTAGGCTTATTTTGGAACTTTAAAAAAGATTCTCAAATTTCATATTTTCAGAATTCACTAAAATTCCTGAAATAGCGATCGGGAATAAAACAAAGGAGACCCGAAGATTCTTTGAAAACTCTTTTAAAAACAAAATCTCCGGAATTCCAGGACTTTTTCAAATTTTTTCAAAAATAAAACACAAGGTTCCCAAAAATTCGTTCATATTCTAAAGAAAAAGACACAATTTTCTTTCGAATTCAAAACATTCATTTTTGATTTTTTAAATCCAATGTTTTTCCTGTCCTGTTTTCTTCTATTAACTTGTTCTAAAATTTTGAACTTTTATGACAATACAACAAAACATTAAATTAGACAAATTTTGGAACTTTAAAAACGATTCTTAAATTTCACATTTTTAAAATTCACTAAAATTCCTGAAATATGGATCGGGAATACAACACAAAAGGGGCCGAAGACTATTTCAAAACTCTTTTAAAACCAAAACTCCGGAGCTTCCGGACTTTTTCATTTTTTTTCAAATCTTTGGAACTCCACACATTCATTTTTGATTTTTTAAATCCAATGTTTTTCCTGCCTTGTTTTATATGAATTCATTCTTAAATTTTGAACTTCGACGAAAATATAACAAAAAATTTAATTAGGCCCATTTTAGAACTTTAAAAAAAAACTCTAATCTCATGTTTTCAGAATTCACTAAAATTCTTCAAAAAGGTGTCGGGATTAAAACGCAAGAGGACACGAAGATTCTTTTAAAACTCCTTTAAAAACAAAACTCCTGAGTCCCAGAACTTGTTCAATTTTTTTCAAAAATGAAACACAAGGTCCCCAAAAATTCGTTCATTTCTAAAGAAAAACACACAATTTTCTTTCGAACTCAAAACATTCATTTTTGATTTTTAAATCCAATGTTTTCCTGTCCTGCTTCATATTAACTCATTCTAAAATTTTGAACTTCTATGAAAATATAACAAAAAATTAAATTAGGCGCGTTTTGGAACTTAAAAAAAATATTCTCAAATTTCATATTTTCAAAATTCACTGCAATTCTTGAAAGAGGTATCGGGATTAAAACGCAAGGGGACACGAAGATTCTTTTAAAACTCCTTTAAAAACAAAACACCTGAGGTCCCAGAACTTGTTCAATTTTTTTCAAAAATGAAACACAAAGTCCCCAAAAATTCATTCATATTCTAAAGAAAAAGCCACAATTTTCGTTCGAACTCAAAACATTCATTTTTGATTTTTAAATCCAATGTTTTCCTGTCCTGTTTCATATGGACTCATTCTAAAATTTTGAACTTCTATGAAAATATAACAAAAAATTAAATTAGGCCCGTTTTGGAACTTAAAAAAAATATTCTCAAATTTCGTATTTTCAAAATTCACTAAAATTCTTGAAAAAGGTATCGGGATTAAAACGCAAGGGGACACGAAGATTCTTTTAAAACTCCTTTAAATACAAAACTCCTGAGTCCCAGAACTTGTTCAATTTTTTTCAAAAGTGAAACACAAGGTCCCCAAAAATTCATTCATATTCTAAGGAAAAAGACACAATTTTCTTTCGAACCAATGTTTTTCTGCCCTGTTTTATATTAACTCATTTTAAAATTTTTATAAAAATAGGTACAACAAAAATTAAATTACGCCTATTTTTTGAACTTTAAAAATGATTCTCAAATTTCACATATACAATACTCATTCAAATTCTTGAAATATCAGGGGGTCCCGTAGATTCTTTCCAAACTAGTTTAAAAAAAACTCCGGAGCCCCAGGCACTTTTCCAAATTTTCTCAAAAATAGACACAAAATGTTTTCAAAAACTCAAAACATTCGTTTTTCATTTTTTTTTAACAGTGTTTTTCCATGCGTGTTTTTTTTCCAAAATTTTGACGTTTTATGTGAATACAACAGAAAATTAAAGTAGGCCAATTTTGGAGCTTCTTTAACTTCTATAAAAATACAACAAAAAATTGAATGAGGCTCATTCTTTTACTTTAAAAAAGATTCTCAAATTACACATTCTCAAAATTTACTAAAATTTTTGGAATAGATATCGGGAACAAGGCGACCGAAGATGTTTTCAAAACTTAAATAAAAAAAATCCCGAAGAATTTTTAAATATTTTTCAAAAATAATACATAAAGATACCAAATAAAAATTCATATTCTAAGCAAAAAAAAATCTTTCAAGCTCAAAACATTAATTTTTGTATTTTTTAATCCAATGTTTTTCTAACCCTGTTTTATATTATTTCATTCTAAAATTTTGTTATGAGTATAACAGGAAATTAAAGTTTGTCCATTTTGGAACTTTAAAAAAAACTCTCAAATTTCACAGTTTCAGAATTCACTAAAATCTCTGAAACAGATATCGGAAATAAAACACAAAGAAGTCCGAAGGCTATTTCAAAACTCCTGAATTACAAGACTTTTTCACACTTTTTCAAAAATAAAACATAAGGACCCCAAAAATTCGTTCATATTCCAAAAAAAAAGACACAATTTTCTTTCAAACTCAAATCATTCATTTTTGATTTTTTGCATCTAATGTTTTTCCTGCTCTTTTACATTTTCAGAGATCACTAAAATTCTTGAAATAGGTATCGAGAATAAACACAAAAGGGCCCGAAGATTCTTTCAAAACGTAAATAAAAAATCTCCTTTTTTTAAACCAAAGTAAAATAAATTACTATCAAAATCCAATCAGTTTAAAGCCAATAAACGGCTTGAAATTCGAAAAAAGAAAATAATAAAAACATGATTTTGTAAAAACAGTAATCTGAAGATTACCATCACAAAAATGTATTACAACTTTTTAGAAAAATAGAATAGAATGGAAATACTACGTTTCATTGTGTTCTTCTCAAAGTATTTCCACTCCATTTTCAATAACAACTATAGTATTTTTTTTGCCTCTCAAAGTAATTTTTTTTTTACGAAATCTGTACAATTAGTGACCAGATTTATAACCACCTCGACTTAAATTAAAAGAAAACGGCAATTTAGCTTTCAATAATAGGACTAATTATAAATCGGCATGAGAAATATTTTTAATAACTCCATTAATTGGTCCACATCAACGCAAACAACAAACACAATGTTTTCAATTAATCGCCTCCGCATTAATTTCGGCAATTTATTTCTTCCTTCCACGAATCCACTTAAACAACAGATTTCAAACCCGTAACCAAGAAAACACACCAAAATTTTCAAAATCGCCTCAAAAACTACTCCAAACTTACCGAAGACGGGGCTGTGGTCCGCTCGGGAGACATTTTTATTGGAAGAGTAACTGCCACCAGACTTTTCCTACAAAAGAAAGAATGTTTACAATGTGCAACATGTAACAAACACACGCACGTTTGTTTAACAAAAATATCGAAGTACAAACACGGAGCGATAAGAGACCGCGTGCAACAGCTTCAAATCCGGTCAGATTACCGGCCCGATAAACTGATTTCTGATTACGATCGATACATAAAGGCCACGAAAAGGCCAAATCGTATCTTAATCTGCGTCGCCCCGAATCTGTCTTCGACGAACCCCCTTTTTCGGAACATCATTTCACAAAAATCCAGTGTTTGCCTAGCGATAAGTCCGGGGAAATACGTTCCGGCTTAATTTGTTAACGGCGAACTTTGGCCTTTGTGTAGTACGGTGTTTAGGCCAAATTACTTATAACAATGGCAAATTAAATTAAATTGCGGGCGACTATCTCTAGAGCAGCTCACGGATTATACAGAACGTCCCAAGGGTCACTATTATCTTGGACTTGGAAGTTATTTTTTTTTTTAGACCCGATATATTTTATATTTGTGATTTCGTAGTTTAGCAAACATGCTTAAGTACTTAAAACTCGTGTTTCGATATTTTGGACTTTTGCTGCAGCCGTTATCACTGGTCTTAATGCACAGATAGCCGGCTATCAGCTGCTCATTCTTGACATGATTGACACGTCGTTACGGTCCTGATAATCCACGGTTTACCACGGTCGGGTTGCCGCTCAATGTTCTATATGATTGCTTAATTTTAAGTTTCCACCACTGAATTATTCACTTTTCCCAATAAACGATTCGGATTCCATTTTTCCACAGACATCAGAGATCAATACCGATTATGAATAAACATAATTAATTAATAGGTGGGAAACGCCGCGACTCCTTTGGTCAATAGAACAAGGGAAAAATCGTCGAAAAATCGCTCTCTCACTCTCCCACGACTCGGTAATAACCCGACTATTAATAAAACAGGAGTAGCGCTCTACACAAGAAAGAAAACAAAAATAGTTTGTAGGAGGGACTAATAACAAATAATTTCTAATTTTACTAAGCGGGAGCGATCTTTTATCTCGAAATAAAATTTTAGAGGTTTACAACAAATCAAAATATCCAATTGAAGAGCAACGGCCTCCGGACGGAGCTAGCGGAGCGTTGTGCCATCGCGATTCCAGCTTGGGAGGGTAGATAACGCTGTTGTCAACAATATTTGTTTAAGATAGAAAAATTCCGAACGCGCGTTGCTGGTAACGATTTAATTGGACGTGGCGGTTTCCACTAAATTCTTCACCTGTTCGCGACGAAGCAGTAATTTTCATTATAAATATTTACGAATTATATGGGATTCGCGGAACTGCGTGCTAGTGTCCGGAGGTGCCAGTTCGTTGGTACCAGATTTTTTGTGCTACAATTATGTGTGGAACTGTAATAAACGAGCTGGGGTTTGTGGTTCCTTAACACTTTTTTCGTTCTTTTGGCGCTTTTTGCATTAATTTTATTGTTTATAAGACCACGAAGTCAATTGTCTAAAAGGTTTTCGGGGTCCCCCAATTATTCAATTTTTTTTTATTTAGTTACTGTATTTATTTTTTTTTTTTTTTGAACGAGTCCACAAAAAGAAAACTTCCTTGTTATAACGAAGTTAAAGGCAAGTCCTTTGGGTATTTGTTCTCAAATACGCTACACTACCATCACTAAATCCCTTAAAACATGTCAATTATTTGCAAAAATTATAACTAACGACTCAAAAAGGAGTTCATCACGAGATTTACGGTAGGAATTCTGAAAGAAATTGAATTAATAAAATTCTGTGAAAATTCTGTAACCACTGAATGTCGGTGTTTTACTAAAAATTATATAGAAGTCATATAGTAAACTCTGATTTAGCAAATTATAATTACTTCGAAATTTAAAAAAAATTAAAATTGTGAAACATTTAACTTTGAACTTTAAAATCCAGTGCTCTGAATCGTGAACGCTTTAGGGTTGTAAAAAGAATTTTTCGTTTTTCGAACATTTGAATCATCGAATTTTCGATATTTCGAATTTTAGTTTCCCAATTTTTTTGTTTTTTCGATTTTCAATGTTTTTACTTATCGCTTTTCCACTTTTCGATAGTTGAAATTTCAGAGTTTTCGCTTTTCCACTGTTCGATTTTTCGATGTTCATTTCGCGAAATTTGAATTTTCAATTCTTCTACTTTTCGCTTTTTCAATTTCACAATTTTTCAATTTTTCGAAATTTTGACTTCAGATAGTTTGTTTTTTGTATATTTCCATTGTTGGGTGTTTCGAAATATCAATTTTCGAATTTTTGGTTTTCGGTTTTTAATTTTGGATTTTTAGGTTTTCGAATTTAGTGTTTTATAATTTTCCATATTCGAATTTTTAATTTTTTAATTTTTCGATTTTTTGATTTCTCGAGTTCTCAATATCTCGATTTTTCAATTTTAAATTTTTTTACTTTCAGGAAGAATTTTCTAATTCCTCGATTTTTCTAACTTTCGATTTTTCTGCATTCCGATTTTTCGATTTTGGGTTCTTCCACTTTTCGTTTTTCAAACACTTGAATAATCGAAATCATGAAATTTTCGAATTTCGATATTTCGACTTTTCGAATTTTGGATAACTGGATTTTTTGTATTTTCCATTTTCAATTTGTCGTTTTAAGTTTTTCGAATATTTGATTTTCCAATTTTCAATTTGTTCATTTTTCGAAATTCGCGTTTTAACTTTTTTTAACTTTCGCTTTAAAATTGTTCGAATTTTCGTTTTTTCAATGTTCTAATTTGCCGTATTTCAAATTTCTGATTTTAGGTTTTCCCCTGGTCCATTTTTCGAATTTTTGGTTTCTGGTTTTTCATGTTTCGAAAATTTCAATCATCGAATTTTAGATCACTGGATTTTTTCTTTTTTCGATTTTCAATTTGTCGATTTTTGATTTTTCGAATATTTGATCAACTGATTTTCGAATTTTCGATTTGTTCATTTTTCGAAATTCGAGTTTTCAATTTTTTTACCTTTCGCCTTTTCAATTTTTGGACAAGTATTTCAAATTTCTGATTTTTTTAGAAGTTTGGATTTTCGATTTTTTCATTTCGCAAAATTTGAATATTTTTCGCTTTTTCAATTTCCGGATTTTTCAATTTTTCCACTTTGCGATACTTCGAATTTTCATTTTTTTTCAATTTTCGATATTTCAATGTTTAGATTTTTCCATTTTTCGAATTCTCGTTTTTTCAGTGTTCGATTTTTCGATATTTTCAATTTTCGACGAGTATTTCAAATTTCCGATTTTTTAAGAAGTTCGGATTTTCGATTTTTTCATTTTGCAAAATTTGAATTTTTTTCGCTTTTTCAATTTCCCGATCTTTCAATTTTTCCACTTTACGATACTTCGAATTTTCATTTTTTTCAATTTTCGATTTTTCGATATTTTCAATTTTCGACAAGTATTTCAAATTTCCGATTTTTCGTTTCCGACTTTTCGATTTTTCGATATTTAAAAGTTTGGATTTTCGATTTTTTCATTTTGTGAAATTTAAATTTTTTTCGCTTTTTGAATTTAGGGAAGATTTTTCGATTTCCTTTACTTTCTAACGTCCCATTTTTCTGCATTCCGATTTTTGGATTTTCGGTTCCACCATTTTTCGTTTTTCGAAATTTTGAATCATCAAATTTTTGATATTCAATATTTCGACTTTTCGAATTTTGGATCACTGATTTTTTCGATTTTCAATTTGTCAATTTCTGATTTTTCGAATATTTGATGAACTGATTTTCGAATTTTTGATTTGTTCATTTTTCGAAATTCGAGTTTTCAATTTTTTTATCTTTCGCCTTTTCAATTTTTCGAATTCTCGATTTTTCAGTGTTGGTTTTTTCGATGTTTTCAATTTTCGACAAGTTTTTCAAATTTTCGATTCTTTCGTTTATTGTATGTTTTTCGATTCTTGATTTTCAAAACCTCAATTTTCGAATTTTTTATTTTTCGGATTTTCGTTTTGGGATTTTTAGACTTCGGAATATTCAGTGTCCTGATTTTTCGGATTTTCATGTTTTCGAATATTTGATTCATGGAATTTTCAATTTCTCGACTTTGAATTTTCCGTAATTTGGAGTTCCGATTTTCGATTTGTTTCGATTTTCGATTTGTTCATTTCTCGAATTTTGAACTTTCAATTTACTTTTACTTTTCGCTTTTTCAATTTCCCGATTTTTCAATTTTTTAACTTCGGGATATTTCGAATTTTTGGTTTTTCAATTGTCAAAATTTTTCGAGATCTCAATTTTCGAATTTTTGATTTTTCGGTTTTTCGATTTTGGATTTTTAGATTTTCAAATATTCGGTTTTCTGATTTTTCGGATTTTCGTTTTTTCGAATATTTAATTTTCGATCTCTCGACTTTTTTCAATTCCTTTACTTTTCGCTTTTACAATTTGCCGACTTTTCCAATTTTCGAATTTTTGATACTCAAATTTTCAATAGTTTTATTTTTCTCAATTTTTCAAATATTCGATATTTCGTTTTTTGTATATTTTGATTCTTGATTTTTCGAAATCTCAATTTTCCGAATTTTTGCTTTTTCGGAATTTGAATTTTCGATAATTTTACTTTTCGCTATTTTAATTTTCCGATTTGTCAATTTTTCGACTTTGTGATATTTCGAATTTTCATTTTTTCAATTTCCCATTTTTCACTATTTCGATTTTTCCACTTTTTTTAATTTTCAATTTTTTTACTTTCATTCGATATTTCATTTTTCGTTCATTTGGATGCTGGATTTTTCGAAATTTCAATTTTTCAGTTTTGGGATTTCGGATTTTCGAATATTCGATTTTTTGATTTTTCGGATTTTCGATTTTTCGATATTGGGTTTCGACTTTCGGTTTTTTCATTTCTCGAAATTTGAATTTTCTATTATTTTACTTTTCGCTTTTTTAATTTCCCGATTTTTTGATATTTCGACTTTGCGATATTTCGAATTTAAATTTTTTCAATTTCTGAGTTTTCAAGCTCTCGATTTTTCCATTT